ACTGAACCTATATAAAGCAAGAGATTTATTGGATGTGTATTAGGATAATTCAAAGAATTGAAGGGAAATTGAACAATATATTTGGTGAGGGATAGAACCAGGACAACTCTTGGAGTCAAAATAATAGGAGCTCATGGACAGCCGCTACTTCTGTCCTTTCAGAGAATTTTTAGAGAGGGAGTTTATGGCTATTCCTCCACCCTCCCATCTCTTTGGATACTGACTCTGGAATTACTCAGCTCCAACTGCTTCCTTTCCATAATAGTCATTTTTTAGGTGATTGGATCTGATTAACTTTGCTTAGGTCAAATGTCACCAGGACAGTTTGAGATGGGGGAGGTGCAGAACCCACCTTAAAATGTGGTGCTGTTTCTTAACAAAAGTAAAAAGGATACTGGGCACAAATATCCTGTGTCTGCTATAACTTGGTAGTGTTTCCCTAATTACTAAATTAACCATTTTGTTATTCCAGATATCAGCAAACATTTACTGTAATGGGCTAGATAAGTATTTTAGGTTTTGTAGGCCATATAGCCTATGTTGCAACTTAAGTCGCTTCTATGGTATGAAAATAGTTATAAATGAATGAGCATGGCTATGTTGCAATAAAACTTAATTATTTACAAAAAAGGCCACAAGGCACATTTAGCCTACAGTTTGCTGTCTCCTTATTTATTTCATTTCTGCTAACACATGGCTTTCTATTATAGCTTCCTAAATGGGATCTTCTAGGTGTGTATGTTTTGGTATGCTGTTTCTGGAAAATGTCACTGCTTAAAGAAGATTTGTTTCTGCTTTCTATTCTATTCCATTGGTCTTGTCTAGTTCTATGCTAATGCCTGGGATCCTTAATGACTAGAGATTTAGAACAGGTCCTGATATTTTGTAGGACAAGTCAACCCACCTTGTTATTTATAAGAATTTATTTAATTTTTGGTCTTTGCACTTCCATATAAATTTTAGGGTTAACGTGTCAAATTCTACAATTGCATTGAATCTGTACATCAGGTTGTAGAGATTTACATCTAGGCTATTAAGATATACCTATTTTTTTTATAAACATAAAATATCTCCATTTTGAAGGTTTTTTTTAATGCTTACAATGTTGTGATTTTCGTCATAAAGCTCATTCATTTTGTTAATCTTAAATGTTTCATATTTTTATGCTATTTTAATTGCTGTCTTTTTAAAGATATTTTTAAACTGTTGTTAGAGAAGTGTAATAAATTTTTGTGTATTGAATTTTGCATCCCAAAACCTACCTACATTGTCAGAATGATTACCTTTTTATTTCCTACTTGCAAAGTCAAAGTATGTGTGAATAATAATAGCCTAAATTTTCTTGCTTTCCAATTTGTAATGCTATTTTTCTTTTTTGTCTTGCTGCACTGGAATGATACTGACCTCTAGAATGATACTGAATAGACATGATGAGAGTGGGTATTTTTCATTTGTTCCTGATTTTAAAGGGAATGTTTACTTGTTTCTGTGGTCAGTCAGCATGCCTGTGCCTGCCTCTTTTTCTCTCTCAATATCATTTATCAGGTTAAAGTATTTTTCTTCTTTTCATAATTTTCTAAATATTTTTTTTCATGCTCCATAAAATTCTTTCAGTTTCCGCCTATTGCCCAATTCTGAAGCCACTTTTACATATTTAGTTATATGTTACAATAGCACCCTACTTCCAGGTAACAAAATCTTTATTACTTTTGTATTTGCTGCTCAGTTGATTGCTTTATTGGTTGCTTTACAGCAAAGTGCTTACAGTCTGGTTTTAAGTTATTGCAGTCTATATTCAAGTAATATGAAATCACTTAAGAACTGGGGCGCCTGCGTGGCTCAGTTAGTTAAGTGTCCGACTCTTGATTTTGGCTTCCATCATGATCTCAGGGTTGTGAAATCGAGCCCCTCCTTGGACTCTGTGGTCAGCATAGAGTCTGCTTGAGATCTCTCTCTCTCTCTCTCTCCCTCTCCCACTCCCTCTGCCCCTACACATGCTCTCTATCTCTGTCTAAAATAAATAAATAAAACCTAAAAAAAATGAAATCACTTAAGAACCTTAAGATAATATACTTTTATTTGTCCTTTTCCAGCCTTTGTGCTATTATTTTCATACATTTTACAACCTATGATATAAACTGCACAACACATTACTATTAGTTTAGCTGTAAACTATTACCTTTTAAAGAGATTTAAATAATAAGAAAAACAGTCATATTTTATATTTATTTACTCATTTAATTATTATTTCTGTTGGTCTTTAATTTGTATATTTTCTTTTTTCTGTCTAGTATCATTTTTCTTATGCTTGAAGGATTCTTCATAATTTTTTTTTGTTCAGGTCAGCAGCTGATGTATTTTTCAGCTCTTTGATTTCTGACAAAAATTTTTTTCTTTTGCCTTCAGTTTGGAAAGATGTTCTTTCTGAATAAAGAATTCTAGGTTTGACTGTTTCTTTTCTTCTAGTATTTAAAGGTATTTTTCCTTTGTCTCTGAAAAGAAGTCTGCTGTCCATTTTATCCTTGTATATAATCTACTTTCCTCCTCTGTCTGCTTTTAAGATTTTATCCTTATCACTGCTTTTAATAATTTTGTTATGATATGTCTTGGAGGTAGTTTTCCTTTTATTATTGTGGGTTTGTGGCTATGAAGTTCTTGTCAAATTTGAAAATAAAATTTGGCCATTGTTCAGAAGACATGAACAGATATTTTTCCAAAGAAGACATCCAAATGGCCAGCAGACACATGAAAAAGTGCTCAACATCACTCGGCATCAGGGAAACCAAATCAAAACTTCAATGAGATACCACCTCACACCAGTCAGAATGGCTAAAATTAAGAAGTCAGGAAATGACAGATGTTGGTGGGGATGCAGAGAAAGGGGAACCCTGCTACACTGTTGGTGGGAATGCAAACTGGTGCAGCCACTCTGGAAAACAGTATGGAGGTTCCTCAAAAAGTTGAAAATAGAGCTACCATATGATCC